GAAAGAGCAGGTTTGAAACAGGCTGGGGTTGAATTTGGTCCAAGGCAAATTCAAATTCAGATTCTTTTGCCTGCATCTCTCAAGCTCGCGGACAACCATGAGCTGCAGGACTGAGAGCAGCTGGCATCAGATGCAGACCCGACCACCGTGTGCTCAGACAGGGCCAACAGCCGAGCGGTGCCGGACAAGCACCGGAGCACCTTTCCAGACCAAGCCAGGCCTCATTTCCTGCTCACGTCTCGTCTCTCCCCAGCACCAGGGATTACTCTTGTGCTCCCCTTGTTTTACTCTGGGATCTACCAATGAAATCTGTCACCTGAGAATTCGACCTACTTGCTCTTCGCTTCTCATCCCTGGATCAAAGATATTCCATAAAAACAGACCACAGTGGGGTACCAGACAACCACGTGGCTGGGTTAATGTTTGTGCAGACGGCTGCAGATATGAAGTGCTCCAAGTGTTGAGGAATTCACCACAGACCCCGTGAAGCCCCAGATCTTGTGTGGCAGCTTTCCAGGGTGCTTTTTATCCAGCATCCTTAGACACTACACAGGGAGGCCGGGATCCTTATTTCTATTTCACAGAGGGAAGGGCTCCCTGTCACCAAGAGGAGGGCAGCCAGGTGGGAGGAGAGAGCACCCTCCCTTCATGGAGGGAGAAGAGAAGTCTTCTTAGGGGAGTCAGAGTTAAGAAACTGCACAGCCCCTTGGAGGAACAGGCTGGGGACAGGTGCCGAGGTTTTTAGAAGGGGATGCCCTGAAGTTCATGTCTGCTGCCCAAGGAAGGCAGCTGCAGCAGGGGCAGTCTGACTTTGGGAAGCACCTGAAGGGAAAGCCCCAACAGAACAGCAAGGTCCTCAGAACAGGAGCATGGGGGGTGACACTCACCAGTATCCTGTGATCAAACTGGACAGTTGTGGGATTCTCAAAGACGTTCTTCAGCATGGGGGAGAAAGAGAGGAGATCGTCTGGGATCCAGCGGTCCCCCATTTTGGGGAAGGAGTTGTAAACCAGGCCAGCATCCAGGCCTGCCACAAAGGCACCTGCAATTCCAGGGCGGAGTGAGGGGCCGACTTACACAGACCAGAGGTGACAGCAGGCTGACTGCTGGAGCGCAGGCAACGCGGAGTTGGAAGAGAGAAGTGTACAGCCTGCTTGGGATTTTTTCTTACAGGGTGATGTGGGCATGATCACACAATGGAGCTGTTGCATTCTGTCCTGCAGCAGGATTGATCCTGGCTGTCTGTGCCCGAGGAGCTCAGACACTTACTCATGTCCCAGGACCTGGACACAGTGACAGTCCTTGGGGTTCTACCATTTCTCACCACCCACGTGGGGCACGGGGAGGCTACCACACAACGGGAGAGGCCATACCTGAGAGAGCGGTGAGGAAGATGAGGCCTGTGGTCCCGTGAGCAAAATGTCTCAGGCGGAGCAACTGACGGGTTTCAGGTAACTGCAAAACACGTGCCAGGAAACTGGTTGTGGCAACTCCCCACAGGCCCTGCTAGAGCCTGAAGCACGATTCCTGAGGTGGGGGCTGCCTGCGCCAGGTAAGGAAAGTCCTGTCTGCCCTCCCTCCTCCTCCCCCTCAAGTACAGGTATGGACAGAGGGAGCAAGACAGGCTCTGACGTCAGTGCTCGACGGGGGATTCTTGGGACCCGAGAGTGTGACGATGATCCACTGCAGGCATTGCTGTGCCTGAAGCGGGAGCTGCCTGAGAGGCGCCAGTGGCCTCACTGGGAGTGGTGCTCTGGCTAGGGTGCAAGGCAGCTTATGTTAACGTGCAAACAAAAGAGTCCACTGCCTGGCCCCCAAATCGCACCATCCTCGCATCAGGCAGATGAGGAGAGTCCCTGCCACAGCCTGGAGGGAGCAGGGGGCCCCTGCAGGTTCAACCCTTCATCTAAGACAGAAAGCGTCAGACAGGGCAGGAGACACCTCCAGCCAGGTCACAGCAGCAGAGACTCGGGACCTGCCCCTTCCCCACCAGACACACGGGGTTAGAGATTAGGAGAGACCCGTTCTGTGCTCAGAGAGGAATCTGAATGCCGCTCACAGAACACGCTGCTCGGGTTATTGGGCCACAACACAAAGCAGGAACCAGCCCCAGCGGACACGGCAGGGGCCGTGCTGCATGTATGGAGGGAGAGGGGTTAGGTGCTGTTGCTGGTCAGGACAGATTGGGACACAAGGCACAGTCCTCAAACGAACCACCCTCAGCAGGTCCTTCCACAGAGCAGAGCGTGTGGCCAGGTACTTGGTTAAAGGTGAGCCAGAAGCAGAGGTTGGCACCGCACCAGCGCCCCTCAGCCTCTTTTCCTTCCTGTTTCTCAGGGAAACGCGCCTTCTGAGAAGCCGAGACCCCTTCCCCATCCCTCCACCTCCGTGCACTTGAGCTCTGCGCGTGGATGCTTCTCACCTCGTGTCGCGAGAGCAGCAGGGAGAGCCCACTCCACAGGCTGGCTGCGTACAGAACGAGTGCAGAGCCCAGGTGAGCAGCTAGACGGTACTGGCTGACCCGGGGGATGTCGTGAGACTCCGGCTTCTCTTCCAAA